TTAAATTAGTCGCTCTCAATTAAAAGGTTCCTGCGTCTAATCGACCTCTGATTACAAATTGTTCAGCACAGGAGTTGTAATTGATGGCTACAAGAGTTCCAAGCATGTTCAGCACAGGATTGCATGTACAGTCAGTCTATATCAGGGTCAGCTCCTGGCCCTACACAATCTTCAGCTGCAACAGCGCATTGCTAAAAATGTGATACCCTGAACCTGAAGCATGTCAGGCTGCTCAGCCATGGAAAGCTATGTATGGATCGAGGCAATGCCAAATCAAATCTCAACATTCAGTGAAGCATTTCAACCGAACGCAGCAGCGTGTGCTGCTGCTGGCCTACAGCATCATCCAAGAATCGCCGACGACAAGGGGCCATGAGATCCACATGCCACACCAGCTGCTGTAACGAGAAATGGATCTGGGGGTTGGAATGGGGGTCGGGTTTACCTCTCCTGGCCGGCGGTGTCCCAGATCTGGGCCTTGACGACCTTGTCGTCGACGTGGATGCTGCGGGTGGCGAACTCGACGCCGATGGTGGACTTGGACTCGAGGCTGAACTCGTTGCGGGTGAAGCGGGTGAGCAGGTTGGACTTGCCCACCCCGGAGTCCCCGATCAGCACCACCTTGAACAGGTAGTCGTAGTCGTCCTCCGCCCTGTACGCCATCTCCCTTTCCTCCGGCCGCCTTCTTCCTCGTCGGCGGCGGGCTCTTCCTTGCTGCTGCTACTGCTTCTCGTTGGCTGCGGCTGGATAGATCGTATCACGGCCGGGGTGGTTGTGGCTTCCGCTCCGCTCCGTTAGTCGGCCGCACGCCGCGCCAGCCGCCAGCGACCTGACGCGACGTGCCTGGGCCCAAGGAATGAGAAATGCGGGCCCGGTCCAGCCCATACGGGATGGATGGGCCTGGGCTGCCCTCACTCGGTTCACTTCACACGGCAAGCCCAGGAGCCAGTCACACTCAAAAAGAAAAGAAAAAAGAGCCGGTCACACTCCACTCCACTCCACTGACGGCAGCGGCAGCATGAGCGGCGCGGCGCGGACGGCGCGGCGACCCCAGCTACGGCACCGGGACGACGGCGCTGCTCTCTCTGGTATCCGGCTCCCCCTCATCCTCGCGCCTCTTCCGCATTCCTCTCCCGCTCGGAGCCAGGGGTTTTGGGGCCGGGATGACCTGGGGTGCGCCCGCCGTGCCTCTGGCCATGCGGCGCTTACGGCAGATCGACGCCTGCTCCGGCGATGGGGCGCCTCTGATCTCGGGCCTCCTCTCTTGATCGCGCGGGGTGTGCGTCTGGGGTTCCGTCCGTCCGTCGCGGCTCCCGCCGCGTTCGCGAGCCGTGCGCGCCAGGTGTTCGACGCATTGCCTCTGCGCAACCAAATGCTGCTGCCGTGCCGTGCAGTCATTCTTCTCGATGTGTTTGGTTGGACGGTTGGTGTTCGGTGAAAGGGCAGTGGTCGCTGATGATGTTGTTTCTTTCCGCTCGCAGGGCCGATGATGGCGGCGGAGAAGAAACCGCACTCGCAGCCGGCGCTGTCGTGGTCGTCCATCCCGCTCGACCTGGCCGGCCTGGTGCTCCGCCTGCTCCCCACGTACGCCGACCGCGCCCGCTTCGCCGCGGTGTGCCCACAGTGGCGTGCCGCCGCGAGGCGGCAGCAGCAGCAGCTGCCCCCGCCACTGCCACTGCTCGCGCTGCCGGACGGCACCTTCTACAGCCTACCGTATACCAAGCCCTTCCGCTTCCCTGGCTGCGGCTTTGCTGGGTATCAGAGTGCCTGTGGCAACTGGCTCGTCTTCCCCCGTGACGACGGCTGCTTTTTGGTTGACCCCTTCTCTAGGGAGACAGTGACGCTCCCTGCTCTCTCCAGCGTCCGGCTTCGGCCTCCAAATGCAGTCGCTAAATGGTCAGAGGACGGCACGGTGAAATATGCGGACCCTTACACTACATGGATGCACATCAATACATCTGAGAAGCTACACATAAGTAAGCTAATCCTGTGCTCGCCAAATCTCGTTGCAGCACTAGTCGGCATCGGATACACCAGTCAGATTCTCATGTGCCAGCCAGGGGCCTTGTCGTGGTCAGTACGCGCCTACGATCGGTGCAAGCGCTTCGAAGACATGTCATTTTACCAGGGAAAGCTCTACGCCGTTGCCAATGACGAGAACCTTCTTGTGGTTAACATCAGCCAGGACCAAAGCACCGGCGATCCGCAGGTCTCTCGGATTGGACAAGTCATCGAGGGTGAGCCATGGTATCCAGTTGTGTTCGCTGACAACACTATACCCTGCAAGAAGCTCTACCTGGTTGAAGGGCATGGGGCGTTGCTGATGGTTCGGAGGGCGATTTGGTGCAAGGTACCTGGACCTGGAATGCGCGGCAAAGTTGTTGCCAGAGAGAGCAGCTTTGAGGTTTTTGAGGCTGACTTTGAGCATTCACGGTGGGTCAAGGTGTCGGCTTTGGGGGCTTTGATGTTTCTAGGGCGAAGGTGCTCCAGGGTTTTGTCCTTGTCTCAGTTTCGGATCCTCGATGATCACATCTTTTTCTTGGATGATGATGAGGAGAATCTTGTGGAGTATGGCTATGACAAGGAGAACACTTCTTTCGGCACCTATGACATAAGATCTGACAGAGTCCGTTCTGTTCATCGAGATATTTCCTGGAAGCGTGGCGATGAGATGCGTCTGGCAGCATGGCTCTTCCCGCGGGACTGAAGCGGAGGTGTTATACTGTTATCCCTATGCAGGCTGCTTCTGGGTTATCTGACCGTGCCATAGCTGTTGTTGTTCAGTGGGTTTTTTGCAAGCTGCTCACATGTTACCTATCTGACCGTGGTATGTATGGTAGTTGATGTGGTCTTCAGTGGAACCCATGCAAGCCATGAAGTGCATTAGTAGTATTTTATCTGAGCTAGGTTACTCTGTTTGCCTGTGTATTAGTACTTGTCTGAACTAGTAATTGTGGTGGTTGATATGCAAGCTGTTAACTACGGCGGTTTTCAACTGGTACCGTGGTTGTTGCCTGTGCCTACGAAAAAACTCAAAATGCATAACTTCTTCTCTGTATCTTTGACATGGTGGCCTCTTATATCTGAACTAGGTTACTCTGTTAGTTACAGTCTTATACTGGTACTCTGAACTAATTTATGGTCGTTAATGTGAAGCTGTTAACTGCATTGGTCTTCAACTGGTAGCTCTGATTGTTGTTGTGCGTATGGAAGATGTTTAAAACGCATAACTGCTTATATGTATCATTGGTGTCCTGGTCTTTTTTCTATTCTGTGATGATTTGGCACGGTGGTGTGTGACTCCCTGTAGTGGTAGATTTGTTTTTAGCTGAAGTAGCTGTGATGATCCTTACGCAGTTGTGCTGTTAGTGTGGCTTGAACACATATTTCAGCAACTTTTTCATGTATCGAGCCTTTTTTTTCTGTGAAAGCAATCATTAGACGGTAGGACATGTTCGTAGATAATTTATTTTGTATGGAATATTTTTAATTGTTAAGAATACTGTAAAGCTGCAAGAACATTTTATGGTCCTTTTATCGTTTTTGAAACATATTTCAAAACAATTGTACAAGATATTTGTTGGAAAACTTATTATTATGTTAACTATTAATTTATCAACCACAGTCTATAAATTATTTATTTATTTAACATTAATAACAGTCAATCAATGAAAACTTAATCTTGTCTTCCAACCCACAGCATGGCTAAAGAAGGGGTCTAACACACCCAACATCTAATAGGGGTTTCCTAATGAAGAGTTTTTTTTTTTTTGGCAAAAGGATCGCATGATCCATTTGAAAACGACATTGAGTCATTTGCACGTGAGATTTAAACAAATTTGGATGACTAAAGGAAAATCCTGCACGCACCTAATTGAGTACACTTTGTTTGAAAAGTAAAATCATCTGCGCACCCGCTCCATTTGCTGAATATTTCCTTTAATATGCCTTTTTTCTCCATCTTCTCTCAGTCTGTTTTTCTTTTGTCTATTCTCTTTCCATTATTTGTTTATCTGTCATCTTCTTTAAATTGCTCCTTTCATTTTTCTTGGCCTTTGCATATACATAAGGCATTCATGTTTGTTTTACAAAATGTTGAGGTGATAGCTGTTGGCTGGTCGGGTTCAAAAATAATAATTGTTTATTGGTGGTTGGTCTGTACCAAAATTGAACTGCAAAAACGTCTTGTTTTGGTAAGGAGGGAGTAACAATTTGTGTGTTTCTTAAATACATAAACATATTTCGTAGACGGTATAACGTCACAATATTTTTTCCTATACAAACATGAAAATTCGCCGGAATAATGTATACCTATTCTTTTTTCATGGACCCTGGGCATATTAGAGACATGTTTTAGAATTTCATGTAACAGTTTATTTTTCACGCACGCACGCACACACAGACGTATTTGTTCAAAATTTATTGCATAAATATGGGGAAAATATATTGAAATCAATCTCGAAGTTGCCAAGCGCCAACTGAAATCGTATTGTTCCTCTCTGAACAGGAGAAGCGGGAACTCATTTTCTTATGCTGACCGGGCTTTTTTTCAGTGAGTGAGCGTGCGGCCCATACGGCTTGGCTTGGCCTGGGCCTGGGCCTGCGTATCCACAGCCTCTTGGACTGATACTATTATCTAAAAAAAAATTAAAAAAAAATTGGACTGATACTAGGTTCGGGCAGCCACACACTCCACTCCACTCCACTGTCCACTCCACTCCGCACCACAGCCACACACTCCACACTCCACTCCAGCTCCGGCGCGCACGGCAGCTCCGGCAGCGGGACGGCGCTGGTATCTCAGGTACCCGCCTCTCCCTTTCTCTTCACGGGCCTTCCTTCTTCCTCCCATGCTCGCTCGGGATTTGGGTCCCGCTGCCCAATCCGGCCGCTTCCGCTGGCAATGCACGCCAGATGTTCGACGCATTGCCGCCTCGCCGGAGAATGCTCCCGTTCCGTGGTTCTCATCGGTGTTCTTGTCTCGTTTGCGACGTCGGAGAATGAGGCGGCGTTCGCTGATGCCGTTGCTTGCTTGTTTCCAAGGGTTGATGGCGGCAGAGAAGAAACCCCACCTGCAGCCGCCGGCGCTGTCGTGGTCGTCCATCCCGCTGGAGCTGGCCGGCCTGGTGCTCGGCCTGCTCCCCGCGCAGGCCGACCGCGCCCGCTTCGCCGCGGTGTGCCCGCAGTGGCGTGCCGCCGCGAGGCAGCAGCAGCGGCTGCCCTCGCCGCTGCCGCTGATCGCGCTCCCCGACGGCACCTTCTACAGCCTCCCCTATACCAAGCCCTTCCGTTTCCCTGGCTGCGGCTTCGCCGGCTACCAGAGCGCCTGCGGCAGCTGGCTCGTCTTCCCCCGCGACGACGGCTGCTTCCTGGTCGACCCCTTCTCCAGGGAAACGGTGACGCTCCCTCCTCTCTCCAGCGTCCGGCTCCGGCCTCCGAATGCAGTCGCGAAATGGTCGTATGAGCATGGGGCAAAACTGGCCGACCCTTACCTCACATGGATGCATGTGAAGGACTCGGAAGAGCTGCATATCAGTAAGCTAGTCCTGTGCTCGAAGAATCTTGTTGCTGCCCTCGTCGGCATTGGATATACCAGTCAGATTCTGATGTGCCAGCCAGGGGCCTTGTCGTGGTCGGTACGCGCGTACGATCGGTGCAAGGGGTTTGAAGACATGGCATTCTACCGGGGCAAGCTCTACGCCCTCACCAAAGACGAGAACCTTCTTATGGTGAACATCAGCCAGGACCATAGCACCGGTGATCCACAGGTTTCTCGATTTGGACAAGTCATCAAGGGTGATCCATGGTTTTCATACGTGTTCGGCACCACCACCATGCTCTGCAAGAAGCTCTACCTGGTTGAATCCTGTGGGGCAATGCTGATGGTACGCAGGACGATTTTCTGCCGGGTTCCTGATGACGGTGGAGCTGTTGCTGGACCAAGCGCGTTCGAGGTTTTCAAGGCTGACTTTGAGCATTCAGGATGGGTCAAGGTGTCGACGGTGGGGGCTGACCAGGTGTTGTTTCTAGGGCGAAGGTGCTCCAGGTCATTGCCCTTCTCTCAGTATGGGGTCCCGGGTGATCACATCTTGTTTTTGGACGATGATGAGAAAAATCGTACGGAGTATGGCTATGCCGATGAGAACACTTCTTACGGCACCTATGCGATGGGATCCGGCAGGTACCGTTCTGTTCATCCAGACATTTCCTGGAAGCGTGGCGATGAAATGCATCTGGCAGCATGGCTCTTCCCTCATGATTGAAGCACTGTTATTTCTATGCAAGCTGTTACCAGGCTATCTGACCGGGCTATTATAGGCTATCTGACCGTGCTATAGATGTTGTTCAGTGGTTATTTTGCAAGCTGCTACCAGGTTATCTGACCATGCTATAGATGTTGTTGTTCAGTGGTTATTTTGCAAGCTGCTCACATGTTATCTATCTGACCGTGGTATGTATGGTGGTTGGTGTGGTGTTCAGTGGAAACCATGCAAGACATGAAATGCATTAGTACTCCCTCCGTTCCTAAATATAAGTCTTTTTAGAGATTACACTATGGACTACATACGAAGCAAAATGAATGAATCTACACTCTAAATTATGTCTATATACATCCGTATGTAGTTTATAGTAGAATCTCTAAAAAGACTTATATTTAGGAACGGAGGGAGTAGTATTTATCTGTACTATAGGTTATTCTGTTAGTTGCCATGCATCAGTAATTCTCTGAACTAATTATGGTGGTTACTATGCAAGCTGTTGATGGTGCCGGCTTTCAACTGGTACTATCTTTACTTTTATCTGAAATGCATTGTAGTATTTTCTTCTTCAATTTTTCGATGATTTGGCATGGTGGACTCTGACCTCCTGTAGTGGTAGATTTCCTTTGTGCTCAAGTAGATATCTTGTGGTGGGCCTTGTACAGTTTTGTGGTCTGAACACCTATTTCGAGAACTTTTTCAAGCACAGGACATCTTTTGCTGTCTACACAGTTACTATTAGACAGTGGAACATGTTCCTAGACAATATTTTGTACCATTGAATATTTTTATTTGTTAAAAAAAATTCTAAAAGTCGCGACAAATTTTATTGCCATGCATATTTCAAATAGATACTGAAACATATTTCAATACAGCCATACGAAATCTTTTCTGGAAATTTTATGATTATGAATATATTTTTATCAAACCCAAGTTATGAAATATTTATGTGTTGAAAACTGTAATAGTCAAGATCTTGGCCTCCATCCCATGGCATTACTAAAGAAGAGATCTAGCACACCAATCATGAAAGGAGATTCCTAATGCAAAGTGGACTTTTGGCTCTCAGGATAAACTGATCCATGACGGAAATAAACAGTACAAAAATAAATCTGAGAGTGAGTCTTGTACCAGCAAATTTGGTGATTTGCAGTATGCATGAAAAATATATACTACTCCCTCTGTTCCAAAATATTTGTCTTTCTAGAGATTTCAACAAGTGACTAAATACGGAGCAAAATGAGTGAATCTACACTCTAAAATATGTCTATATACATCCGTATGTGGTAGTCCATTTGAAACAAATATTTTGGAACGGAGGGAGTACTAATGAGCTACAATTGCGTTTTCAAATTTGAAAACGTGTTTTGGTTCATTATTTCCCCACAGTTCAAAAAATCAGTTGCAATTTGAAAACAATATTGAGTCATTTGCATGGGGGTTTTGCTTTGAATTTTGGGTGAGTATAACATTAAAAAAAAGGAATACTCTCTGCTCACCCCTTCCATTTGCTAGGTCACCCAACTACTCCTGGCCATCTCAGGCCCGGCCCTGTTGGCCCACCCAGGCCCGGCCCTAAAATCCAGGGCCTAGGCCCGATGGGCTTGCCCATGGGCCGGGCTTGGGCGTGAGTTTTGAGCCCACCAGTAGGACCTGGACGGGCTTGGGCTTGGCATATTGGCATTTTAAGGAAGAGGCCTGGCCCACGGCCCTAAGCCCTAAGGGCCTTTTAGGGCTTTTTACCAGATGGGTCGAGCTTGGGCTTGAAAAGTAGGCCCAATGATAGGGCTTGGGAGGGCTGGGGCCTTAGTTTTCTACCGTGGGCTTTTTTAGGCCCGGCCCAAGCCTGGCCTGGCCCGGCCCATGGCCAGATATACACCCAACAAACATTTTCGTTTTGTTTTCCTTTCATTTTTATTTCCTTTTCTCTCTTTTTTATTTTTTAATTATTTTATTGTAATATTACATCTCTTCTCTTTTCATTATTTGTTTATCATTTTCTTTAAATTTTATTTCTTTGATGTTTTTGTCCTTTGCCTATATGTAAGCCGTTGATGTTTGCTTTACAAAAGTTTCAGGCGATAGCCTTTTATTGGGCGATTTCTAAAATAAATTGTTTATTTGTGACTAGATCGGTACAGCTTTCTTCTGATAGAAGTATGTGTTGTTTTGTTATAAGAGGTCAAATCAAGACGAAGGAGTGTAACCCATTATTCTTTTTGAAACTACCAAGTTGCATGTTTCTTAAATAGATAAACATATTTCGTAGACTAACACTTCAATAAAAAAAATCTATACAGAACATTAATTTTCGTATACCTAAATATTTTTCCATAGACCGTCAGCATATTAGAAACTGTTTTAGGATATTTGTGAACATTTTCTTTCACATGCCAAGCATTTGTTCCAATTAATTCATATAAATATGCTTTTTGAATTGGCCTCCATTTTGAAGCTACATTGCCGACTGAAAACGAAGTTATTTCTCTCGTAAAAACGAGAAGGCGGGAACCTCTTTTTATTTTGTTTTCCAGTGAGCGGGCATGTGGCCCATACGGCTCGGGTGGGCCTGGGCTGTACGTATCCACGCCACTAAAAAAAAAAGGCTGTACGTATCCACTTGGCACGGCCCCAGCCACATTCCACTCACTCCATTCTGCACGCCAGCGACAGCAGCCGCAGCGCGGCGGGGACGGCAACGCGACCCCATCTCCGGCACCGGGACGGCGACCGTCTCACTGGTACCCGCCACTCCTTCTCCTCGCGAGCGTTCCTTCTCTCCCCTTGCTCTCTCTCGGGGGGTTTTGGATCTCGCTCCCTGCTCCCGCCGCGTCAGCTGGCAATGCGCGCAAGGTGTTCGGCGCATTGCCTCAGCCCGGGCAAAAATGTTGCTGTGCCGTCATTCTTCGCTGATGCTGTTTCTTGTTTGCACTGTAGGACCGATGGCAGCAGAGAACAATCGGCACTGGAAGCCACCGTCGTCGTGGTCAGCCCTCCCGCTGGAACTGGCAGGCCTGGTGCTCCGCTTGCTCCCCGCATACGCCGACCGCGCCCGGTTCGCCGCGGTGTGCCCACAGTGGCGTGCCGCAGCCAGGCAGAAGCTGACGCCCCCTCCACTGCCGCTGCTCGCGCTCCCTGACGGCACCTTCTACAGCCTCCCCTACGGCGAGCTCTTCCGCTTCCCCGGCTGCGGCTTTGCTGGGTACAAGAGCGCCTGCGGCAGCTGGCTTGTCTTCCCCCGCGACGATGGGTGCTTCCTTGTCAACCCTTTCTCCAGGGCCACCGTGACGCTCCCTGCTCTCTCGAGCGTCCGACTCCGGCCTCCAAATGCAGTCACTAAGTGGTCAGATGTGGGAAAGGCGAAATGTGCCGAACCTTTCTGCACATGGATGCATATCAATGATTCAGAGGAGCTGCACATAATTAAGCTGCTCCTGTGCTCGCCAAACCTCGTTGCTGCACTGGTCGGTGTTGAATACACCAGTCAGATCCTAATGTGCCAGCCAGGGGCCTTGTCGTGGTCGGTACGTGCATGCGATAAGTGTAAGGATTTTGAAGACATGGCATTCTACCAGGGAAAGCTCTACGCCATCACCGATGATGAGGACCTCCTTGTGGTGAACGTCAGCAGTGACCAAAGCACCGGCGATCCACAGGTTTCTCGGGTTGGAAGGGTCATCAAGGCCAAGGGTGACCATTGCTACAAGGGGGACCTCAGTGTCTACCATGTTGTGTGTCGAGAGAACTCTGTACCCGTCATGCCCGTCAAGAAGGTCTATCTGGTTGAATCGTGTGGCGCGTTGCTGATGGTACGCAGGAAGATTTGGTGCCAGGCTCCTAGACCTGGAGTGACCAGTAAAATTGTTGCTGGAAAGAGCGAGTTTGAGGTATTCAAGGCTGACTTTGAGCATTCACGGTGGATCAAGGTGTCGACCGTGGGGGATGACCAGGTTCTGTTTCTAGGGCGAAGGTGCTCCAGGGCTCTGTCCGCGTCTCGGTATGGCTTACTGGGCAATCGCATCTTCTTTTTGGATGACGATGACGAGCATCGCGTGGACTACTTCTACGACAAGGAGAACACGTCTTGCAGCTCCTATGACATGAGACTCGGCGATGTCTCTTCCCCTCATCCAATGATTTCCTGGAAGCGCCGCAAAGAGATGCGTCTGGCAGCATGGCTATTCCCCCAGGACTGAATTGAAGGTGCTATATTGTTGTTGGCTTGTTGTTATACAAGCTACTCCCATGTTTATCTAACCATGCTGTAGATGTTGGTGTCCATCCTTTATTTTGCAAGCTGCTCACAGGTTATCTATCTGACTGTGGTAAACATGGCGGTTCATTATGGTGTTCGGAGGTCCCATACAAGCCGTGAAATGCCTTAGTGGAGAGTATTTAACTTTCTTATGCCATAGTTGCCATGTATCAGTGATTGTCTGAATTTATTATGGTGGTTACTATGCAAGCTGTTAACTGCATCGGTTTTCAACCTGCACTGTTCAGTGGTTCTCCTACAAGCCGCAAAATGATTAGCACTAGTATCTATCTGAGCTTTGTTACTACTCCCTCCGTCCTAAAATTCATGTCTTAAATTTGTTTAAATATGGATGTATCTAGTTACATTTTAGTGTTAGATACATCCGTATCTAAACAAATGTAAGACAAGAATTTTGGGACGGAGGGAGTACTTGTTAAGTGCCTTTAGTCAGTGTTTTGTCTGAACTTATGATGGTGGAGTACTTACTACTACCAGTCAGAAGTTTCTCAATAGTACTGTGGTTGTTGCTATGCCTCTGAATGATCTTAAACTGCATCACTGTATCTTTGGCTTGTTGATTTATTTTTTCTTTTGCGTTGTTTTGGCAACTAACTCTGAATTGGTAGATTTGTTTGTGCTCGAGTTGCTGCTCTCTTGTGATGGTATTTAACTTGCAATGGACATTGTTCAGTTGTGCTGCTAGTGTGGTTTGACTGAATTCGGAGATTCACAGTTAATTTCTTGGTCCCTGGTCGAAGGCAACATGAATTGAAGTTGCTATGCGGGATAAGCTGGGAAGCCATTTAAAAAGCTACTATTTAATAGATCTAATTAACCAGCTTGCAAAGGAATGAACAAGGTGTTTCAGTTCTTCCGTTCCATCTACTCCTAAAACACTTCTTTTACAGGTACTCCTAAAACACTTGACGCAATTCCAATACAAAGGAGGGCGCACTAACATGTCATTTATCTGGTTTTGCCTTTTGATTGTGATTTTCTGAGAACAAAATAAAATTTAGCATGTACTAGTTTTTAATACTGAAACCAGTTGAAGTCGAGTGAACATTTATTTAACATAGTGAATATTTTATTTTGACCAAACATGAATATTGCCCGTAGAAGTGGAAGATATCCCCAAATATTATTCAGGTGCAATTTTTATTGGTTGAAACACTTCACAAAGTTACGAGAACATTTTATCTTCGATGCATAATTAAAAAGTTATATAGTGAAACATATTATTTAAAACAATAGCAAAAATAATTCCTAAAACTATATTATATGAGTTCAAAAATTATATTTAATGAAACATCGGGGAAACTAATATTTTGGGCATCCGTTTTGAAAAATATTAGCTTTTTTTTAGACGAGAAAAATATTAGCTCAGGTATATGACATAGGCAGCCTAGCTGACGGCCTGAGCCCAAAATCACGATGGTCAGGCCAGCCTTGGGCTCCATGCCCAAATACCTAAAACTGGCATTTAAAAAAACATACAAAATAATGTATTTGTATATCTTGTAAAATATTTCGGGACTATGTAACGATGCCGGGTTTTTCCAATATGAAGCTCACTGTGTCAAAGTTCTGGAGAAATGCACATGTCTCGTGTGCTATGGACCAGACCCATTCCGTTTTCTTTCAATGGGTTTGTTCCATTTTATGCGGCTTTTCACTGGCTTCCTCCATTATTATTTTCTTTCAAGTTTCTCTCTAGTACCCTTTTCTTTTCTTTCTTTTGGTTTCATATTGGTCCTCCTGTGGTTTTTTCTTTTTGTGTTTTCCTCTATTTTTTATTTTACTTTTTTCAAATTTACGAGCATTCTTTAATTTATAAATCATGTTTTTTTTAAAATAACATCATTTTTTGAAATTCAAAGAGTAGCTTTAAAACTACCTAATATTTTTTAAATAAACGAACTTTTTAAAATTGGATGGTCACTTTTACAAAATTTGTGAACTTTTTAAGAAAATCACAAATTCATATTAAATATGAGAATATTAATCAAGATTAACCAATATTTTGGTAAATTCGTGAGTATATTTTTAGAATAAATAATATATCTAAAATTTTGAATAAAAATCCAAATAGAAGAACCAATCAAAAAGGAAAAGAAAGAGAAAAAATAGCTGAAAATGGGAAGTGTATGCATGTAAAGCACGTAGCTGGTGGAAGCCTAACTGGGCTGGGGGAAAATTATATGAGACCAGGTCTCACGGTTAGCAGGAGAGCAACTAGTCCTTGCCGGATCCTCCCAAGGGCCCTTTAGTGGGATGAGAGCTGCACATGTCGTATTCTGGGCATTTTCTTAGGATTTTGTTTTTTAATTTCCAGTACGAGTTTTCCGGTTTTACATGTTTTTTTTCCTTTTTAGGCTTTTTGGTTTCATCCGGTCTTCATTAGGTTTGGGAGAAAAACAAATTTAAAAAAATACATTTTTTTTGCTTCTATGAGAAGCACAAATTTATTTCTTGTAGAGGCACATACTTGTGCTTCGTCTAAAGGAAAAAAACATGTTTTTTTTTCTTTCACAAGAAAGACAAATTTGCTTCTTGTGCAGACGCATCTTTGCTTCCGCAATAAGCACATATTTGCTTCTCTGCATGAACTGTTTTGGTTTGCTTCTGCGCTGTGCTTCTTGGAAAGAAAAAAAACACGTCTTTTTTTTTGCTTTCACGAGAACTCGTGAAGGCATAAATTTGCTTCCGCGTTGTGCTTCTTGGAAAGGAGAAATGCTTCTTTTTGTTGCTTCCATGAGAAGCACAGATTGCTTCTCGTGAGAGGCATAATTGTGTTTCTCGGAAAGGGAAAAAAATGCTTCCGTGTCTGGCTTTTTTTCTTCCGGTTTTTTTGTGAAAAAAGGTTCATCCAAACTATTAGGTCATGTACAGTGGTTGATATGATAATCTTATCTTAAGTTTTGCATGTAGTTTAAAAATGACAATAAAAACACGTTCGCAATGGGTTATCTCTTAGCCTTATACTTTATAACTACTAGTTATTCCTAAAAACATGGTAAGACATATTATACTAAAAGATCATCTCTTAAGTAAGAGAAGGTAAGCATTTTCTTACGATTTCTCTCTCCTCCACGTCAATACTTATACTATGTGACACCTTTAGGATAGCACCATTGAACATGCCCTTAACATGGGATCTAGTTTTGAAGATATTGTGCGTGAAATCTAACAATAACAATGGTTTGGGATTTAGACGCACAGTTCAAGAGATAAAAGCGTTCAACGAATCTATGAAAAGAGGGTGTGTCACTTGTCAACTTTTGAAGGTGGGAGTAATTTTCGCGGATGTGAAAGCTTTTAAAGCAGAGACATACTTCCTCCGTTCCTAAATATAAGTCTTATTAGACATTTTAAATGGACTACAACATACGAATGTATGTAGACATATTTTAGTGTGTAGATTCACTCATTTTGCTCCGTATGTAGTCACTTGTTGGAATCTCTAAAAAGACTTATATTTCGGAACGGAGGGAGTAGTTCTACATGGGCCGGCCCGTTCCTACACGGGCTACAAGCGGCGCTATAAGCGGAACACGCTCTACCCTGGCCGTTCCCCGTTAGAAATCCGAAAATCCAACCTCGATCGCAGTCGCAGCAGCAGCGACTCGAAATCCGAAATGTCCGCGCCGCCCGTGTAACTCGCGCACGAATGTAGCCAAGAAATACTCCATCTGCATTAACTACTCCTTCCTGGTTTCAAATTTTCATCTTCCTCCCAATCCAACCTCTATCCGTCCCAGGCAGTAGCGGAGCAGAGGTGGGCGTACAGCCAGGAGAGGGGAGGGGAGCGGACCAGAGGTGGGTGGCCGGCCGGCCGGCGATCGAGATGAACGTGTGCTTCCGTGGCGGCGCCGGCGACAGCAGGGCCGCCAGGTCCATCAGGGGCTTGGCCAAGAACGTACGTACCCACCGTGCCCGCAGGCGCGCATTCGTGCTGCTCGCCTGCTGATTAGTTTGTCTCCCACTCTTGTGTTGCTTTCAGATGAAGGCCATGTCTCTCAAGGCGAAGGCGGCCGGGGGCGCCGGTCATGCGCGGCGGAGGCAGCGGAGGGAGGCAGACCCCCGTGAGCGCCACAAGGATGGTTCAGGGGCGACGTCGGCCAAGATCGCGCCGGCGCAGCCGCAGGACGATCGCCGCCATGATCATCTGCTGCACACGGAGGAGGACTGCGACAAGTGCTGCTCCCCTTCGCTGGACGCCGACGACGATGCGGCTGAAAAGGGCGACGACGGCGCCGACGAGTGGGTGGCGGAGCCGGAGCAGGGCGTGCTGATGACGCTGGCGCCGCGCCCCGACGGCACCAACCGCCTCCGGAAGGTGCGGTTCAGGGACGAGCTGTTCGACGACTGGGCGGCGCAGAGCTGGTGGGCGTACAACCACGACCGCATCGTCGAGCTCTACAGCCTTGTCAACCAGTCCGACGGCGACGGCAACGACGACGCACCTGTCACCCCGTGCCAGTCCGAGTCGGACGAAGAAGAACCGCTGCCGGTATGCACTTGATCGATCGTTTGCTTGGTTCGATTCGATCGACTCAATTGCAATGCTTGTGTTTGTGGATTTGGTTGGCACAGGATGATGCGATGGCGGCCAGCGAGCCGTCCAGCGGGAGCAGGTCGAGCGGCACGGCGGGGTCGCCGATACTGGGCCTGGTCACCGCGCCCGACACCCTCAGAGCATGCAAAACGCCACCAACAACAACAATGACGACGACGACACCTAAAGCTGTGGCGCCGGCGGCCCGACACGAGGACGGGGAGGAGGGGGACGACATGAGCGACCACCAGCAGAGGAACACGCCGTGGACGGAGTGGGTCGAGGAGTACGAGCCCGGCGTGTTCATCACCGTCCGGGCCTACCCCGACCACCCCCTGCAGCTCCGGCACGTCGAACTCAGGTACCAATGTACTACTCGAGCACCTAGCATGTACTGTATTGGACTGGCAATGAATGAATGAATTGGTGTTGCAAAATTGCATTGCAGCCGTGACAAGTTCGGGGAGGTAAAGGCGAGGGTGTGGTGGCAGGAGAACAAGGACAGGCTGCGCAGCTTCTACTCCTTCTGAAGCCGCCCGCATCCGTGTCTTCGGTCTGGTTACAGATAAACATACTATGCTCATAATCAGCATTGCAAAGGGAATAATGGAATTATAGTAGTATATGGTACTGCACTAAAGAAGGATACATAAAAATACAGTACATCTTCTAATTTTATTTATTTATTTGCGGGAAACCTAATACTTGCTCCCAATACTTGGCGAAATTATGTCTGCAATTCATGTAATCTTCTTCAGTTGTAGTAGTACTTACATTAGTTCTCCCTTCCCATCGATCCACTAGTGATGTGCATAGAGTTTCTTTTCTGGGTGTGGCTAGGTCTCAGTCAACTGAGATTTAACCAAGTCTCAGTCGCAAGTCTCAATCAAGTGATATAACGACGTGCAAGAGAGAAAAAGGAAAAACTGAAAAGAAAATTTTGCATGGATCTTAATGTAAGATCTCATGGATATAGCACTGACGGAGACTTGATAAGGCAAGCCATGGCATAAATTCTGTCCACACTCTTGTTCGCCCAGGTTTAGAGTTTCAGACACACTGCACAGAGTTTCAGGGCATACATACGGTCACTGTTAAAGTGAGTCGCTGGCCAAGCTACACGTAGATCTATCTACGATGCCTATGCAAAATACCCAACACATTCGGATTGCCCTGGGCATCGCTGATAGCATGCCTTGGAGTTGGAGGTGGACATCGTCAGGATCCTAGAGCATCTTCTCTTCAAGGGCTATGCAACGAATGTGTTTGCCGATACATTCGGATGTGTTCATGAATCCCTGAATTGATAACCCGATACAAGTTCTCTTGGATCAACTAATTCTACCAAGTAGTCTAGGATTTTATAGCTAGGCTACAACGACTTGGAGAAGAAGATGATGACTCGATCCACGGAATGCGCTATAAAGGAAAAATATTGTGTGTGGTAAAGAAATGGTCAGTTAACAAAAGCGTGGTAAAGCATCTTCTTCAGTTAACTGTAGCTCTTAACGGTCGAGTACTATGCGGTCGAGTAAAAATGGAGTCCATCGTCGCCGTGAGATATTGATCTCTTCACACGTCAACCAAAGGTTCTCTTCCTCCTTTGAACCTTCAGAGAGCTCGGTGTTGATTGTTGAACTATTCGAAGAGATTCAGTTTTGTCAGGTTCACAACATCAGGACCCTGACAATTGCCCCTTGCTGAAGATGATCCTTGCCCACAAGTATGAGTGAATGGTTGCATTGAAGAATTCTGGGAACGTGTACTTGATGGAATCAACAACGTCCCAGGTAGCCTCTTCGAGTGACATGTTCAGCCACTGAACCTGCTCCTGTGTAACCAATTTTTGGTGTCTAGGAACAACTCTTGTGTCTAGTACCATGATTGGTGCCACTTTGATCTTGCCATGTGACTCAACCAGAGGAAGTCTGGAGCTGTAACAGCCATGAACCAAGTGTTTCCTTAACTGACTGATGCGAAAGCACCATGTATCTGTGTAGTGTCAGGTAATTGTAATTTGTATACTTCGCAAAAAAAAAGAGGTAATTGTAGTTTCTATGCTCTGGTACTCACCTTCTGTAAAATTCTGAAGGAGCCATAGAGTTTTGTTGCAAGTTCCAGTCCTATTCTTATACCAAATGCCGCCAATCGGTATGGTTGCATTTTTAATAAACCATGTCACCAACTTCATATGTTACGTCAGTCCTTTTCATATTCACATGCTTTTTCATTTTAGCTTGATCTTCTAACAAGTTGTGTTGTAATTGTTGATGTATGCTTTTTTTTCCTTCTAAAAATGTTCTAGCTTAACTGTACACTGGACCAGGAACATATACTTCATTTATAAGAGGAGGAGGCAGTCCATATAAAAACTGAAACGGGGTGAACTTGGTGGTTGTGTGGTAGGAGATGTTGCACCACCACTCAACAAATAACAACCGTGAACACTTTTTACGCTCAGCAAAAAACCATACTTCTCAAATAAGCCTCTATCTTTGGTTCATCCTCTCAGTCTGGCCATCTGTTTGAGGGTGATGTGTGGAACTCATATTTAGAGCAACATTCAGATATTTGAAAATGGTTCGCCAAAAAATGCTGGTGAAAGTCATGTCCCGATTAGTCACAGTTGACACTGGCATGCCATGTGATTTGACAGTGTTGTCTATATATGTTTGTACCACATACACATAGTTGAGGTCTGAGGAAGACATGAATTCAAAGCCTCTCAAGTCATATAGCTGTGAGGAAGTGAAATACGCCCTTTTCAGATGTTCCCGACTAAAGTATCGCGCCTGATGGTTTTATCCGGTGCATCCCTTTCGGCAACATTGGGACATCTGCGGTGCTGAAGTTTCGAGGTTCTCCGAATTTTTTGAGGTGAAGAAAGTCTCGAGAGCATCAATCAGACCATTCTTGCCAATCAGTCTTTGTAAATTTTTACATAAGATTGCGTCGAAGGTTGTCTCCAATCGTCTGAAGCTTATCCTTCTTGAGATTATTTCTGAGGAGCAATCTGCTTTTGTTCCAAGCTGTCTTATCACTGACAATATTATCTCAGCTTATGAATGTCTTCATTTTATGAAGAGGAACAAAGTGAAGAAAAATACTAAAATAGATTACATGCTCTCAAATTGGATATGATGAAGGTATATGATCGTGTTGAGTGGGAGTATCTTGAGGCTATAATGACCAAGTTGGGGTTTGCACCAACATGGATATCTTTAGTCATGAGCAGGGTGAGTCCCGTCAGATTCTCTGTTTTGGTTAATGGTAATAAACTTGAAGAGTTTAAGCCTTCTTGAGGAATCCATCAGGGCAGGGGGTAGTATTTCTCCGCATGTGTTCTTAATAGCAGCGGAAGGTCTTTCGTGCCTCCTAAAAAGGAAAAGTGAGTCATTGCACCTCAATCGTATTAAAGTTGCTCAATCAACGCCACCGGTAAGCCACTTGCTCTTTGCGGATGGCAGACTTCTGTTTTCACGATCAGTAGGTTTCATTGGAAGAAATGCAAAACCAAAGTTTTGGCAGTCTAGGGTTTAGAGATATTGAATTGTTTAACCTTGCTCTATTAGCTCGCCAAGCATGGTATATATTGCACGACCCAAAATCTCTTAGTGCCCAGATTCTCAAGGCTCGGTGTTTAACCTTGATAGAGTTCTTGGAATCCTAGGTGGGTATCTTTCCATCACAGATATGACCGTTTATTCTTGATGGAAGAATCGGCGATGGAAACAGTACGGAAGTTTGGAGGCATAACTGACTCCCGAGGGATTATAACATGAGACCAATAGCTAGCATTTCGAGTAACCCACCGCGGCTGGTTAGCAAACTGATCATCCCAAATTTGGCATCATGGAATCGTGAAATGGCCTTACAACATTTCATTGCCATCAACGCCGAGCTAATTCTATCTGTCCTGTTGTGTACCCGTCATATGGACAATTTCTAGTCTTGGAATTTCGAGAAGAAGGACATTTTTAGTACATACGGAATGCTAGCGGTCACAAACACCAGCGCGAGGCATGTTTAGAGGAGCAGGTTGATACTTCAAGTACTAATAGAGATTAGGGAAGTTCGAGCATGATGTGGAAGGTGCAGGTCCCTTCAAAGTTGAAAATTTTCTTATGGCCTTTGGCTCGGCAGTCCCTACCCATGGATGACCTCCTACACCCTCGCAACATTTCACCAGTAAGCAATTGCGGCTTATGCAGGCGAAAGATTCTTGGGAATACTCCTTGATGGATTGCACCATATCTTTGTGTGTCTAGGCTCTTGCAAATCAAGACTTGGTGGAGTCGATGAAACAAACTAGTGATTAAATACTAAATGTTGGATTTTCTTCCTGATGGATTCTCTGCCACACGTAGATTTTCGTGTCTGTTTTGGTCACTCTATGGGCCATTTGGCCTGCGAGCAGGCCCTGCATGAGCATGAATTTCAAAGTCCCAAGCAACACACATGTTTGTTAGATCATCCAAGCCCCAAACCTAGCCTCGACTGCAAGGTTCTCGAAACTCTTGTCATCAGACACTTAGATTCCTCCTACTCCTGCTATTACTAAGATTCGAGTAGATGGAGCAATCTCTCGATCATCATATTAGATCTTTCGGTGTTATGTGCAAGGATTCAACATGACATTACCTTGGATCTTCGGCTATGGTGTGCCCAGGAGTTGTTGATCCATCTGGTGCTTGAACCTATGGCGTGTCGGGACGGTAGACATGACAGATGATTTATTGCTATCCCCACGCCCGCCGTGGTCGTCCGGCCATCAGGCGCTTACGGCAGATCGACGCCTGCTCCGGCAACGGGACGGCGCTGCTCTCTGGCGCCATCCTCTTCCTCTCTTGCTAGCCCCGGTTCTTGGTTTGGGTTTCCGTCTCGGCTCCCGCCGCGTCCGCTGGGCATGCGCGCCAGCCGTTCGACGCATTGCCTCTGCGCTGGGGGTGGTGCTGTGCCGTGTTTCTTCTCGTTGTGTTCTGTTGGATGGTTGATGTTCGATGAAAGGGCAGCGGTCGCTGATGATGTTGTTTCTTTGCACTTGCAGGGACGATGGCGGCAGAGGAGATATCACACTGGCAGCCGGTGCGGTCATGGTCGTCCATCCCGCTCGACCTGGCCGGCATGGTGCTCCGCCTGCTCCACTCGTACGCCAACCGCGCCCGCTTCGCCGCGGTGTGGTTCGCTCGTGGAGGTAATGCTGTGGCCTGTGGGGTTTGGGTTTCTGTCCCGGGCTCCGGATGCGTTCGCTTTCTATGAGCGCCAGGTGTTCGACGCATTGCCACTTCGCGAGGGAAATGCTGCCGCGCCGTGATTCTTCTTGGTGTGTCTGCAATGTTGGAAAGCGAGGCAACGTTCACTCATGCCGTTGATTCTTTGTTTTGCAGGGACGGTGGTGGCACAGAAGAAACCCAATTTGCAGCCGCCGGCGCTGTCGTGGTCGTCCATCCCGCTCGACCTGGCTGGCCTGGTGCTCCGCCTGCTCCCCGCGCACGCCGACCGTGCCCGCTTCGCGTCAGTGTGCCCGCAGTGGCGTGCCGCCGCGAGGCAGCAGCTGCTGCCACCGCCACTGCCGCTGCTTGCGCTCCCTGATGGCACCTTCTACAGCCTCCCCTATACCAAGCCCTTCCGTTTCCCTGGCTGCGGCTTCGCCGGGTACCAGAGTGCCTGCGGCAGCTGGCTTGTCTTCCCCCGCGACGACGGGTGCTTCCTGGTTGATCCCTTCTCTAGGGAAACAGTGACGCTCCCTCCTCTCTCCAGCGTCCGACTCCGGCCTCCAAATGCAGTCGCTAAATGGTCGTATGAGCATGGGGCAAAAGTAGCTGACCCTTATGTCACATGGATGCATATGAAGGACTCAGACAAGCTGCACATAAGTAAGCTAGTCGTGTGCTCACCAAATCTTGTTGCTGCCCTTGTCGGCATTGGATACACCAGTCAGATTCTAATGTGCCAGCCAGGGGCCTTGTCGTGGTCAGTACGTGCGTACGATCGGTGCAAGAGGTTTGAAGACATGTCATTCTACCAGGGCAAGCTCTACGCCCTCACCAAAGGCGAGAACCTTCTTGTGGTGAACATCAGCGACGACCATAGCACCGGGGATCCACAGGTTTCTCGTATTGGACAAGCCATCAAGGGTGATCCATGGTATTCAATTGCGTTCACCAACAACACTATGCTCTGCAAGAAGCTCTACCTGGTTGAATCCTGTGGGGCACTGCTGATGGTACGCAGGACGATTGTGTGCCGGGTTCCTGAACCTGGGCTGTATAGTGAAGCTGTTGCTGGATGGAGTGCGTTTGAGGTTTTCAAGGCTGACTTTGAGCATTCGCGGTGGGTCAGTGTGTCTACCGTGGGGGCTAACCAGGTGTTGTTTCTAGGGCGAAGGTGCTCCAGGGCTGTGTCCTTGTCTCCGTATGGGGTCCTGGGTGCAGGTGATCAGATCTCGTTCTTGGATGATGATGAGGAAAATCGTATGGAGTATGGGTATGGCTATGACAAGGAGAACGCTTCTTTTGGCACCTATGACATAAGATCTGGCGGGTTCAGTTCTGTTCACCCAAAGATTTCATGGAAGCGTGGCGATGAAATGCGTCTGGCAGCATGGCTCTTCCCTCATGACTGAACTGCTGTTATTTCTATGCAAGCTGCTACCAGGTTATCAGACCGTGCTATAGATGTTATTGTTCAGTGGTTATTTTGCAAGCTGCTCATATGTTATCTATCTTACCATGGTATGTATGGTAGTTACTGGTTGGTATGGTGTTCAGTGAACCCATTCAAGCCATGAAATGCATTAGCAGTACTGGTATGGTTATCAGCACTAATGCCTGAACTCATTATGGTGGTTACTATTCAACTTGTTAACTGCATCGGTTTTCAACTAGTACCGTGGTTGTTTCTGTGCCTACAAATATGGTCTGTTTTACATGAACTAGGTTACTCTGTTAGCTGCAGAGCATCAGTAATCGTCTGAAGTAATTATGGTTGTTACTGTCTAAGTTGTTATTGCATTGGTTTTCAGCTAGTGCCGTGGTTGTTGTGCATATGGAAGATTTGCGATGTTTTTGGCATGGTGGCCTCTGACTCCCTATAGTGGTAGATTTGCTTTGTGCTCAAGTAGATATCTTGTGATGAGCCTTGTGCAGCTGTGTGATTTGAACACATATGTCAGGATTTTTTTCAAGTATGGAACATTTTTTGCTGTCTACACGGTTATGTATTAGACAGTGGAACATGTTTATAGATAATATTTTGAATTGAATATCTTTATTTGACATTTGCATTCGAAAACAATACTGAGTCATTTGCATGAGATTTGCTTTTAATTTTTCGGTGAGTACAATATGTTTTCTAAAAAGAAAATCCTCTGCCCTCACTCCCCTTCTGCGTTTGCTGGGTTACCCAATAATCATTTTTGTTTTGGTCTTTTACTTCCTTTCTATTCCCTCTTCTCTCTTTTTTGTACTTTTATTTTTATATTTTTTATATCTCTTCTCTTGTATTTATTTGTTTATCATCTTCTTTTAATTATATTTTGTATGTTTCTTGCCTTTTGCTTATACATAAGCCGTTGATGTTTACTTTACAAAATGTTTCAGGTGATAGTTTCTTATTGGGTGATTTAAAAAATAATTTGTTTATTGATGAATTGATCAATATAGGTTTTTTTAATAGAAGTATGTGTTGTTTGGTCAAAAGAGGTAAAATCAGCATAGTGTAACTTCTATAAAAAAAGGCATGACGGAGAAGATAAACACATTTATTTATTTTGCGGGAGAAGATAAACATATTTCATAGACTAACACTTAAACAAAACGAAAAATCCATATGGAATATTAATGCTTGTATGCCTAAATATATCTTTCCAGACCTTCAGCATATTAGAACCATTTTTCACGACCGAATTTGTTGCAATTATATTATATAAATATGATAAAGATATTTTCTCTCACACACGATGTGGAAGTGCTAACTATATATATTTGGTGTACATGGGGTTCTTTTTTGCGCGTGAAAAACTTGTATTACTCAACTCATAGAATTACAACCAACAACAGCTAGCTGGACAGTTTCCTCACGACCAGAACCTAACCATGTCTATTCGCAAAAAAAAAAAAGAACCTAACCATGTCATGGTTCTACCTTTGGTACGAGCAATAATTGCTAAACTGTCACTAACCCTATTTTGGGATCGAGAAATATGAGTACTACAAGATTCACGAAGACTCAAAAGATGTCTAATTTCTGTAACTAAAGAAGAATAAATCGAGAGCAGCGTTTTGGTTCCCGAGCTCATATGCTCCTGCTATCTGTACCATTCAATAGAGCCTCGTGATCTGAGCCAAATTCCATTTTGTGGGAATACGCACAGTGTATACGCAGAGGAATACATGATGACCTGACATGTACCAGGTACAGAAGGCCCAACTGTCAGCCCCTCAGCACCCACCCCCGTCCCCTCTCTCTCTGGAATAATTGGCGAATTTGGTGACAGATCTGAGCGACTGGTGCCCGTCCTTGTCGCGTGCAGCCATTGTCCGCTAAGTCAAAGCAAGGTTATCTTCTTTGGCTTCAGGCGTCAAGACTCGCATACAGCATGCTAGACGGCAGCGCAACACCGATGTCTGACGATATCAAACAGTGGCGGCTGCTAACTGCCCTGTAACCCAGGATGTACCACAACGAGGCTTGGAGAATGGAGCGCAGCCGCGCAGTGCGTGAGCCTGGTAGCAATAAATGAACGTGGGGCATGGATGGGCAGTCATTTACCAAAAATTGAAAAGATTCATATACGGGAGTGAATACATGCAACTTCTCCAATCTCGAGGATGACTGACGGCATAGATATCAAGAGTAGCTGAGCTCGGGCTCCAAATTGGATATCCCTACAAATATTTACTTTTTACTACAAAATAATAATTTGTTAAAAACATTTATGAGGTCTACTTAGGCAACTTGCTGCCTTTGGCCAAACCTTTGCAAGATTTTTAACAATGTGTCGACATTTTTGTTGGGCTAATTTGTGGATTGTTTTGATCTTTAGAATTTTTCGTCGCTACTAGGATACAAAGGGGTTTACAGTTCCACGGATAATTGCTCAAACTTTTCTACCTCATTTGGATTTTCTGTCTTGCACCACCTGATCATGCACGTCATCCAACATCTCACTTATATTCTCACTACCTTTGATTTTTCTCATTCTCATCTTATGGATTTCATTCATCTTCCTGTCCACCCAGTACATGTCGTTGTCAGCATCTCGCTCATCGTGAGCATGACATGTGCCACTGTCATCTTCGGTATCGTCATGGCCCGCCAGATCCTCACCATGTGATGTCCAACGTGTATAACCATCAGTAAAAAAAACCTCTTCACCAAATGATATTGAAATTTCATCTTTTGTTCTTACCATTCACGTGTTGTCACATCTACGACATGGACAACACATCCTTCGTTTGCCGAAGAAACCGTTCCAACTTTTCGACGAAATCATCACTCGCCCTATTCTCATACATTCATCTTCAAACCATCTACTGAATCTTGGCTGCCTCCTTATTCAGGATGGGTAAAACTGAATACCGATGGCTCATTTTCTGAAGAGGGCTCTGCCGGAGCGGGTATGGTGCTCAGGGACAAAATGGGCAATATTGTTTTCTCGGCATGTAGGGAATTGTTTTTATGTAGAGATGCTCTTGAAGCGGAGTTGTGTGCATGCATGGAGGGTCTCTCCTTTTCTTTGCGGAGAAGTGATCTTCCTATATTCATAGAGATGGACTCAAGTGTGGCAGTAAAGCTTATTCAAGCCAAAGAAGTTGATAGATCGATTTATTCGGGATATCCAATTTGGAGCCCGAGCTCAGCTACTCTTGATATCTATGCCGTCAGTCATCCTCGAGATTGGAAAAGTTGCATGTATTCACTCCCGTATATGAATCTTTTCAATTTTTGGTAAATGACTGCCCATCCATGCCCCACGTTCATTTATTGCTACCTAACATGTCGTTCTTGACTACTTCGTGCTGGAGGCCAGACGCCAGAGGTGCTCGGACGACGTGTGTGCTGGCCACCGGCTCCGGCGGTGCTCCTGCTGACATGATGTGTGGACACGGACGCTGGCACGCTGCCGAGTGGAGGCACTCGTGCTGGGTTGTTCACCGTGACGCGAGAGACCTGCAAGGCGTGTTCCACGCTGCTAGCCGCCGCCGACGCTGTGCGAAGGCAGCACCATGTGCTCAGGCTGGAGGTCGACGGTGATGGCGAAGACATTACAGATTTACAGCTGATGCGAAGGACAGACTCGCGTGGCACATCCGCGTCGACAGTCTGCTATCGCCGATGGGCAGCTGAGTACCTGAGTTTCACCAGGCTCACGCACTGCGCGGCTGCGCTCCATTCTCCAAGCCTCGTTGTGGTACATCCCGGGTTACAGGGCAGTTAGCAGCCGCCACTGATTGATATCGTCAGACGTCGGTGTTGCGCTGCCGTCTAGCATGCCGTATGCGAGTCTTGACGCCTGAAGCCAAAGAAGATAACCGTGCTTTGACTTAGCGGACAATGGCTGCACGCGACAAGGACGGGCACCAGACGCTCATATCTGTCACCAAATTCGCCAGTTATTCCAGAGAGAGAGAGAGAGGACGGGGGTGGGTGCTGAGGGGCTGACAGTTGGGCCTTCTGTACCTGGTACATGTCAGATCATCATGTATTCCTCTGCGTATACACTGTGCGTATTTCCACAAAATGGAATTTGGCTCAGATCACGAGGCTCTATTGAATGGTACAGATAGCAGGAGCATATGAGCCCGGGAGCCAAAACGCTGCTCTCCTTGTAGGGATATCCAATTTGGAGCCCGAGCTCAGCTACTCTTGATATCTATGCCATCAGTCATCCTCGAGATTGGAAAAGTTGCATGTATTCACTCGCGTATATGAATCTTTTCAATTTTTGGTAAATGACTGCCCATCCATGCCCCACGTTCATTTATTGCTACCTAACATGTCGTTCTTGACTACTTCGTGCTGGAGGCCAGACGCCAGAGGTGCTCGGACGCCGTGTGTGCTGGCCACCGGCTCCGGCGGTGCTCCTGCTGACATGATGCGTGGACACGGACGCTGGCACGCTGCCGAGTGGAGGCACTCGTGCTGGGTTGTTCACCGTGACGCGAGAGACCTGCAAGGCATGTTCCACGCTGCTAGCCGCCGCCGACGCTGTGCGAAGGCAGCACCATGTGCTCAGGCTGGAGGTCGACGGTGATGGCAAAGACATTACAGATTTACAGCTGATGCGAAGGACAGACTCGCGTGGCACGTCCGCGTCGACAGTCTGCTATCGCCGATGGGCAGCTGAGTACCTGAGTTTCACCAGGCTCATGCACTGCGCGGCTGCGCTCCATTCTCCAAGCCTCGTTGTGGTACATCCCGGGTTACAGGGCAGTTAGCAGCCGCCACTGATTGATATCGTCAGACGTCGGTGTTGTGCTGCCGTCTAGCATGCCGTATGCGAGTCTTGACGCCTGAAGCCAAAGAAGATAACCTTGCTTTGACTTAGCGGACAATGGCTGCACGCGACAAGGACGGGCACCAGACGCTCAGATTTGTCACCAAATTCGCCAGTTATTCCAG